AGTAGACTGGGATATTGTAGGAACCGAGTGGGAAGTAGGTGCCTTGGCAGAGGGAAATGGAAGAGTAAAAGAAAGATGGAAAAGAGGATCAGTCTCCTGATGTTCCAGCCCAAAGCAGAGCTGGCTTAAATTTTTAAGAAATATGAGAAGTAGCTGTGCTATAAAACTGTGTTACAAAATCAGCTGAAGGATGTCAAATGCTCAGTAAGGGGACATGTAACTAACCTGAACAACCACAAATCTCACGCTAATCTTTTTATTAGTCATCTACTTTTCTGGAAGAAATTTCTTGCCTCAGAAAGCATTAAAAAGTTGCCATTTGTGGCCATGGATTTCACCTCTGTTTTTAAGTTTTTCTCCTGTGTTTTCAGGTCATTTAAAAGTAGAGGTAGACTGCAAAATGTAAATAAATAGCTTAACATTTGGCCTAAAACACATTGTCCTAAGCACCTGACTTGCATGCTGACAGTGAAAGCACCTGAATAGTCTGTTGAAGTAAGTGCTGGACAAAAAAAAGATCTATGCTGGAAACCACACAAGCTGTATAGCTATATTGTGGCATTTAATGGCCAGCACACATTTGGGATAGTTCAGTGATGTACTGTCCCAAAGAGGAACTGGGGAGGGCTTCAGGAGGAAGCATTTGTCTAACTGCCAAACATAACCTGATCTGTTACTGTTAGTCAGATCCTCCTAACAGAGCCTTCTATAAATACATCAGCTGCTGAACTGACACATGCGAAACACAAACCGCAGTCTCTGCAGGAGGAACATGCCCCTCCCTCTGGAGGCTGTTGACAGCATCTGCTTGCTGGGGCCTCTCTCTCAAAAGGGGCAGTAAGCAATGGGCTAGTGAGGGAAATGGTTCACTGGTATTTCACGTCAGAAACTCCTCGTCAAACAAGGACAGGAGGGAAAAGAATAATTGATAGATCATAGAATTTACAGTGGTGCAAATGCCTGCTTCTGAGAAGGGACTGTCCCCTAATGCTGATAATTTTTAATCATAGAATCATAGGATGGTTTGGGTGGGAAGGGACCTAAAGATCATCTAGTCTCTGCCATGGGCAGGGACACCTTTCTGCTTAAACCAGCTTGCTCTAAATGCAGTTATGTAAAATGTGCCTGTGCACAATACAAACATGTAAATACAAGGCAGAGTATAATTATACTAAGTTATCTGAACACAGAAGTCAGGGTTGTCAGAAATTAAAATACCTTATCAGTATCTGGTGAAGTATATCCTTCATAACAATCCACAGAATCTTCTCCACTTGCTATTGGGAATTCTAAATAGTCATGTACCAGATCCTCATCTATATACAGTCTAGTCAGTTCTTCTGTTGTGTCTTGTGTTTCTTCAGAGAAATCTGATTCTTGAGGTTCTGACTGATCCCCTCTATTAAGTGACAGGTCTGCAGTACAGATTTCCTCTTCATTTTCAGCACTTGCAGCTAGCACACTGGACAAGGAACCTTCTTCATATGGTGAAGGGACGTTATGGATAGCACCATGTTCACCTTCTCCTGTAGTATCTGACAAATCTCTAGATTCTTCAATAACTAAAGGGTCAATTATGTCTTCTAAGTTTTTATCTTTTCCTAACTTGGTATTTTTGCTGACATGCTTATATGCTGTGTCATGAGATGAGCTGGCTGAAGATGAGACAGAGGGAGATACAAGAAAGGACAGAGGAAGAGCTGTAGGAGAGCTGAGAAACACCTCTGTATTTGGCACAAAGTGACCATCCTTAACGTGGTGAATGCTGTTATCTGGGGAGATTGCTACAGTTTGGGAGGCTGCTAATGCCAAAGAATTGAGTTCTTCTAAGTCACAAAGAAAACTGTCTGGAACCGATGGAGGAATTAAGCTGCGCATGCCTGAAGGTGAAAGCCCAACAGTCCTTGAGAACAAGTCACTAGAGTCAGCCTGGAGAATCTTTTGATCAGTGTGTGACCAAGACGAGGGAGGTTGTCTGGAAAGTGGGGTCAGTGCTTGGGAAGACAACTTCAAAAAGAAAAACATGGGGATTGAGATAGATAAGCATGACAGAGAATTAGGATATGGGTAAACTGGAAAAGAAAAATGTCTGTGCCATCATCTGGATTACAGGGTACAATTCCAGTGACCATGGGTGTCTGAAATCACTACTACATGAATCAGAACAGCGGGAAAGACATTTGAAACATGAAACTATCAGGTTCTGGCTTAGGGCATAAATGTCAAACATTAAGACAGATTTGAATCATTACATTCATGAAGGCAACTGCATTTGATCTGCTAAAGTTATGTTACTTATGGTGCTCTGTTAGTGAGCTTGTCAAAGGTTATTAAATCATACAGTTAATATTAATGAAAATTTCCCAAACCATTACTCTTATTTTGAGAATAGCATTTTCAGAAGTACACTTCAGGTGTCATTAAATACTTCTTTCCAAGTATAACAACTGAGGTAAATTCTAATTATTAAAATGAAATATTTCTACTTTTTCTTAGTAGTTCTAAGTAAATGTTTAAGAAACATCTTTAATACATTGCATACTTTTATTAAGGCATGAGCAGCTACAGAATGAATGTGTTTTTCAAAATTAACCCTATTCATTCCAAATGATGTCAACATTTGTGAAAGGTACATTCCGGTCAAGCTAGACATAGGCAGTCAACAATGCTTTTAAAATAGTGACAACACAGTACACAGCAGTATGCTTTGAGTACCATTACACAATATTGATTGAAGTATCCTTCTGGTAAAAGAAACGTCCTTTTCTAAGAATGAGAGACTGGTGAGTCATACGTACACAGCATCAGTAGATATCCATTGCTTCAGTAAATACTGAAAATGCATTTTTGTTACTATTAATCCTCAAAATTAAAACTAAGCAAAAAATATTTTGATTTTATCATTACAGCTATCCAAAATAATTAGATGTACACCTCTAAGTTATCTGGACTACTACCAACTTTAACTATTAATGTACTAGAGAAAAATATTTTCAGAAGTCTACATTAATACTGCAGAATAGGGAGGTTAGTTTACTTACCTTCTGCTTGAATTTTCTTGAGACAAACAGCTTTATGTTAGACTTAGACAAACCTTTGTTACACAGTCTTCTGTACCAAAGTAAACAATATAGATTGATACAATCTGCTAAAGCAGAGCTAGGCTCTTACAGAGATACTCAGCCTCCTTCCCTCATCATTCCTCTTAAGCAAGGGCCCCCTAACCTGTGGTTTTAAGGTCAATAATACTGCTGAGGAGACCACCATTTTTACTCCAGAGGAATAGGGAAAGTGGTAACAGAAAGTGTGGTAAATTCTAGAACATCTTCTTCATGGTATTCCCATTTCTGAGTACAGCTAAATCCAGAAAAAAGGTGTCTGTTTAAGAGTCTCAATGGAAGTTGTCTTTTTTTTTTTAACCTGATTATTGCAGAAGTATCCTGTGTTAAAAAGAAGGCTTCTACCAATTCCCTTCCCTCATGAACTGATTTAGGAATAACTAACTTAATAATAGTGGCAGGATAGTTTTGTAATATGGATGGAAATGCTCTGAAGCATCACCTGTGCTCAACAAGGGCCATGGAGCTTTAGCAGGATACCTGAGACAGAAGCCTGTTTCATACAAAATAGGGAGAGGCATCTCTGGAATATGAAGCACTTAAGCTGCCTCATAGTCTTGACTTGTCTTCAGGACCCTCTGGATTCCTGTAACAATAAGGGGCCCTAGCTTATATACCTCAGTTGGCAGCTACAGAATTTGATGTTACTTGAACAGTTTTGTGGGAATAGAAGAGATAGGATCTCATTCTCTGTTGTGACACATTCTGGAAAACCAGACAAGACCTGTTCTAGCATCTGTCCCAAGCCAACCAATATGTAGTAATAAGAAATATTTTCAGAAGATACTGTTGCCTCTAAATGACATATTTTGGTAGCTTTTTACAACCCCAAAGCAGTAAGTAAATGTGGACCTTATTTCAAAGTTAAAGCATGTGGATGACCACCAAGTATGGAAGTAGATCATAGTAGAAAAGGAGACAAAACCAAATGAAAAGATGGATTAATAGCAGTATAAAGAAGTTTATAATTACACACAAAACCCACTGCCCATGTTGAAGAGATAAGCAACAAAGGTAAAGAGGAAGATCTAGGCAGTTTCCATCTTGAGTGTTCAAAATAACTGAAAACATGTTAATTCTAAGCATGGTTTGTATGCAGGAATTTCCTTAGTTTCTGTCACTGACAAAAAATGTTATGTTCCCCACACAGGTGAGTGCAAAGCCTCACAAGTGAATGATAAACCAGAACACAGGAATCTTTCTGCAGCATCCTGTAGTATGATTTGTGATGGAACCTACGATACACATTTGCTGTGAAAAATATACAACCATAAAGGTCTGAATCCAAGTTCATTGACAATGTGATGACAATCTACTTACTCCTAAATGAAACAATACTGTCAGTTTGTACCACTCCAAAGAATGTACCAACAGCCTCCTCCTCGGCTGATTAGCAATAGGAGGAAGGTTTTGGTACAGAATCACTGGCTGTTCTCCTTTGCTTCAAAAGGTAGAGAACTGGTCTTGGTAAGCTGTGTCCTGCATGCTTATGGAACTGTAGGCTTTTAGGACAGCTGTGTTATGGGAATGTCTTCACACTTTACTATTAGAAGTCTGCTAGGTATACCCTTAATGCTCAAAATCTTGCTAAGATTCCCAAATAAATTTTTCTGTTGACTTGACTTTTCTGCCCAAATTTGGCCTGTCTCTACTAAAAATAATGTAATAGCCAATGAAGAAAAGAGCATAAATCCTGGCAGAATGTGAGACACACTTGTCTATAAAAAATAATTTATTAATAACATAGTAATGCAATTCTACCTGTGCAAGAAAGAAAATGTTGTGTACTTAATGCCTAAGTTATGTATAACACTAACAAAAAAATTACAAGTCCTTCTAAACCCACTCTAGGGGTTGCAGCTAACATCAGAAAATCCTTACCTTAGTTGAACTTAAATGATGTATTCTGTCACTAGAATAGCTTTGTGGTATTGGAGGGTCAGGATAGTCATCAACATTTTTTGATGGATTCTTTTTGATGACTTCTACATAGGAAACAGGGAAGATGCCTTGTTTGTTGGTTCCTGGTATTTTACCTTCATACCAGTTTTGATCAACTCGCTTAAGAAGAATTACTCTGTCTCCCTGAAATGCATTATGAAATAAGTTATCAGCACATACATTGAAAGTTAATTTTGTACATAACAGGTATTATTTTAACGCATAATAGTATCTTCCCTACAGTGCTGTTTCCCATCAGTGTTGAGCATCATCTCCATTTTCTCATTTTTCCTCCCATTAATAACAACCATATATAAAATTACCATTCCAGTAAAATGAGGGGTTAGGCATGGACTGAAAATGTTGTTCTTTTATCTAAGGGGAATCTCATGTAGTCCCCTCCTCTTGCTTGGGAGATTAACATTAATAGTTTTCTTTGGAACATAACCTGTTTTAGTTGTTGGCCAAACTACTAGGTAATGCTCCAACTATAGTATGCAACAGTGACTGCTATGCCCATTTTTTCTGAACTCCTTAACAAAAAGAAAAAAAAAAATATGGGGCAGAACTTCCCAGTGGATGAGAAGTACACACTACTTACAACTTAATATTGAGTATTTAATATCTGCAATAATAAAGTTTCTCCACAGTATTAATATTCCAGTGTCTAACAAACTTTAGAAATTAAACAATTATTTTCCTTATGTTCAATCTGGTATAGCCGCCAGGATATGCATAGGAAAGATAATAGAACATTATAAACAGAGAACTGTTATTAAATAAAATATTTACATTCATAAAAATATCTCTGAGGCTTTTTTTTTTGGTATCTTCTATCTTCTGTAATTTTCTATTTATTCTGCAGCTACTCTGCCACAGTCCCAATTAAAAGCACAACACATTTACAGTATTTTCAGTATTTGAAGTACTTGGTAGCTGAGACAAACTATCAAGTTATTAATGTTAGAATTTCCTACCATGGTAGTGCTTTGGGCATTGCAAATCTCTAGTGCAGAGTGCACAAAGCACAGTATTTACCTATATATTGATTCTGTGTAGCAGGAGACATTATAATGGTATTTTGATGGAAGATAGCTCTCAACTGTACCTTTCTAAGTGATAACTCCACATTTGTGTCTGCGCTGAAATTATATTTGGCAACAGCTTCCCCAATCTCTCCAATCTGTGCAGGGGGAGGTGGCCTGGCAGGCTGTGCTTTTTCTGGGGGAGAAAGTTTCTAAGGAAAAAGAAAAACCCAGATTTTCATCATACTCATGTGGTTTGTGGACCTATTACCCAAATTAATTAAAGGAATTAAAACAAAGAACAAACCTCAACATAAGAAATTGGGAATATTCCAACTCTTCCATGGTGCTCACCCTCATACCAGTTTTGATCAATTTTCCTGAGGATATAGACAGTATCTCCTTTCTTAAAGGACAGCTCTCTGTAACAAATTTATTTATATCAGATGTTTATAGCTTTACATTTAACTCTTCTCCCTGCATGGTTCCTGAGATCATTACAGTTTGGAACTGAAACAGAATGTAACAACTAAACATTTGAAGAAAGTGTGTCACAGCTGTGGTACATTTACCAGTTACCATACCATATAAAATCAAATGACTTGCATTTATGAATCCCATGCAGTATGTATAGGTTACAAAGGCCTGTTTAACATTGTGATTCCAAGGAAGTATTGCTAGTTACCACCAGACCACTTCTTATGATGTCTGCATGCAAGTATGATGTCTTTTGGATCACCTGTTTAGGTACTGATTTTATGACAGGCATCAGAGGGGTACTTGGTGTGTTCTTTATGAATACAGTAGGGAAATCAGAGTGTATTCCACATCTACATGGCCTGTCACTACCTTCTGCAGCATAACAGCTTGGTGTCCCTCTGCTCTACACATTTTTTTTTCATAACAGCTATTCAGAAGCATGAAGAATGCAGGATTATGTTCTTACCATTTCTTGATACTCAGAGACTGTGATATGTTAAATGTTAGATACCAAAAAAGGGACTTTTTAAAAATAATTAAGAATATTTTCAGATCTTGGTTCAGGAGATCTTTGCTGTATCATCCATTTGGTTTTTGAAGAGCTAATGTGCTGCTCTGGTAATTTCAGCTGTGAGTTTTGTCCCAAAAAAGCTAATGTAATTCTAGTGTCAATGTTTGGCCATATCTAAAGATGGTTTAAATGTCTTGGATCATTGGAACAACAGCAGAAAAGACTTGTAGACATTCTGCTTTGACTCTCTCATATCCTATATCAGTGGTTCCCAATCTTTTGTTATGGACCACTGCTTTTTGTGTTGCTTTGTGTCTTATCACATCCTGCAGAAAGCCTGTGCACGTTAAGACAGACAGGAAGAGGCTGAAGCATTATACAGACTAGACTTCTGATAAACTCATTATCTATGACAGTAGTTTAAGCAATTTACCCTCTGTCACCTAAATGTAATTCCCAACAAAGAGCATTCAGTGTATGTCCCTCACAACCTGTGCTCTAGAAGGCTGAAGATGCACAGCTATTCATGTGCTCAAACAGATACGATTCAGAATATAGTAATTTAAGATAATTTTATTAAAAAGTAACTTCTCACACAGTTTGTTAATGCAGGGACTACTGTGACAGCAAGCACGGTTCTTGTGTGCATGGAATTTGCTGTTGAAACTGGCTCGAACACCATTTAGGTGGTAGAAAGGATTTGCTTGAATTGCGAATTCTTAAATGAACAAACATCTAGTACTTACTTAGAAGTTTGAGCCTTAAAGTCATATACAGCTCTAGCTGGCAGTTTCTGAAAAACAGGCAAAGTGATTAATATATTCAGGTAGTATTACTATATGATAAATGTGTTTCAATTTTTAAAAGGTGACCAAAAAGAAAAGGATGACCTTTACAGTGGTTCTTGACAAAATAAAAATACATTCTGTTGTATTTAATTACTTTAAATTAAGTTGAATTTATTACAAAAATTAATATTCTGTAGTATTTTAGGTGCCTTTTATGTTAAACTTGTTATCTGTAGGCTAATTTCAATTGCAGATGATGCATTACATTTATATATATATGTGTGTATATATACTCTGACAGCTGGAAATGGCTGGAATATTTTTGATTTCTATAATTACATTCATAGTTTTAAGAAAGCACAGGACTGGAGGTGATCTGAGTCATCTGTGCAGCTCTCTTGCTATCATAGGCAATGACATTATAACATTTCTTTCATACATTTATCAAGTTCTGTCACCAAGTACATGTAAGCTCAATATTGTTTCAAAAAAAGCCCCTGTAAAACAGCCCTAACTTTCCTCACCTGCATGGATGACACATTTTCACTGTTTTCGAAGCTGTAATGAAAATATAAACTGTGATCTGACCCAAAAGCTTCACTCATGGACTGTCTGCATCTGACAAGTAGCCAGATACTTCGGAGGAAGTGATAAGCAGAACCACATGAGGGCATTTGTTCAAAGTGATTTAGTCTTTCTCTGCAAGTACTCACACAGATAAGATTGCCCCATGCTAAAATATGCCTCTCTAGGATGTACTGGTGAATAGAATGAGCTGATTATGCTATTTATGAGAGATACTACTTGTCATGAAGTAAAGGTGCACATCTTTTTATGACAAGAATAAAAATGGACACTTAAAAATTTTGCATTTTACCTGTATTCCAGGCCATGTGTTCATGACTTGATTCTCTCCCTTCTTGTCATTTTAAGACTAGCAAATCTAGCACACCTACAGAATTGTCTTCACTATAATAAGAAGTCACTGAAGTTATTATAGGGATCATGTCAACTTGAATTTTGCAATACTAATAAAATTTTTCATTACAGATCTCTTTCAAATAAGATAGCCTAAATTTAAAAGCATTTTTCTGTTCCTTGCTGTTATTAAAAATGGTCTTTTAGGCAGGGGGGATATTCATATCAACATATGATTCATATCAACTGTAGCTAAGCCCTATTCAGTCATTCCTGATTTTGATACAGCTGGTCCTGTACATTGTAAATACATCTACAAATGTAGATACATTGTAACTACCAAAGCAAATAGCAGAAAAAGTGGCTATTAAAAGAACAGTGGAGCTGCTTAAATACAAAATACTTTGAAATATACAAAATATACTGGAAACAGGGATGCCTTTCCTCTTTCATATTTTTAAAACTTTTAAAGTGATCTTAAAAATGGCTTGTAATTTAAGTATTTTATGTATTTTCAAACTGAAAGATGACTTTCCATGTCACAAGATTCTTCAAAAGAAGCACACAACATGGCTCCTAGAATTTTTTAGCCTGTATTTTGTAATAAGTCTTTTGTAAAAAAATCAGATTTTAATCTAATTACAGCAATAAAAGCATTTCAGTGGGGTATAAATGAATCTGAATTCAGTTCTAACCATACCACCATTTATCAAAGTATATATAGCCAAGAACAAAATCTTATATATTAGCAATTAAAATACAGTAATCTTTTATGTTGTTTGGAGAGCATTTATAGTTCTAGATCTATAAGCATTCTTAAGATACAGAATGATATACTTTATTTTTCAATATATACTTTTCAGTGATGCTTTGTGTTACTTTAAAGCTGGTATACCTGCTTCCATTTCCTCTTCCAAAGCATGACTACAAGCAATCAGTATCTAATTACACCCACCAACTGCTACAGATGTTAGAAATTGCTCTTAGGATAACTGGTTTTGTCTAATCCACTAACAGCAGTGGTTTGCTTTCCAAACAGAAATAATGGTGAAATATTGATGTTTTGTATCATCAGTTTTGAAACTACCAAGGCAGTTTGGCTAATACTTTGTATACCCGAAGTATTTGTGTAATACTTTGGGTTTCTAAAAAGCCTTTCCCCAGTCACATCTGTTGTTTTTCTGTGTTCCAAACACACACTCCTATCAGCTGTGACAGAGCTGATCAATAAATAGTGAATTTATATCAATATCTATTTAATAATAAACAGAAGAATACAGTTTATCTTACAAAGCTTGATATTATTTGATTTTATTGAACCAATCTTCTTAATGAAAAAGGAAGATGCCATTCCTTTTGTCTGCATTATTATAATTTCTTAAAACCAACACAAATCTTGTCTTAAATATGTTACCAACTTTCCATATGGATATTGCTGCATTATTTATTATTGTATCACTACCTCTTTGTCTGTAGTTCCTCTTCTCTCCCTTGGAGTACATCTTCCCACATCAGTGAAAGCAGAAGAATAGCTTCCAGGAGACTCCTGGTCTACTGAAAACAGAAATTATGTGAAACTATGATAAACAAACCCATTCAAATCTGTGATGCTGTTGCTTTCATTTAGAGGGGTGAAAAGATACTGAAATCTATTATTTTACATTTAATAGAAAGAAAAGCACATGATATGATGGTTAAGAGTACCTTTAAAGGAAAAAAATAAAAAATTATACTAACTTTAAGCAAAGGCTAAGGCCGTCCTCTGATCCAGAGCAGAAGAAACTAGATGACAGAGGATCGAAAGAGCATATTTATGCCTCACTGTGGAAAGGGATGCTCCCCTACTGGGCCAAGTGGAAGACATGACAGCAGTACTTGGACTTCATCAGGCTGCATGACATTGTTTTGGAATGCCAACAATGTAAACACATAATTACATGCACAACACATGATTCAAGCATGCTTCAATGACAAAATGTGAACAAACACTGTTTCCTCCTAAGTGATCTAAGATGCAGTTCTACTTTACCAGGGGCACATGTTAGGCAGCACAAGGGAATTTAAAAGGATGTTACTTCATAAAAACAACTCTGTTTTAAGAGATGGAATGCAAATCATATTAGTCACCAATCTATGTGGCAGACTTTTCTAAAGCACAGTTTACCAATGTTTATCACAGGATGGTGAATATTTTCTCATGCTTTAATAAGGTTAAAATCAAAATCTTATACATTCTATAGCTCTGCAAGTTGCCAGTGTGAAATGAAAATAGAACTATTTAATGAACTGCCTCTTAACTTCTGAGATGCACTGTTTTAGTCTCCTACTACCACAGTGGTACTTTCTAGTGGAAATGTGATTCATGTTTGTCTTTGACATCATTCCCACAATCTGTTGTTACCAAGCTCATACATTTCTAAAGAAAAAGAAGTGGAACAAAGAAAAGAATTGAAAGCATCTCATCCATTCTAATTGGTTGTTGGCTAAGCCACAAAAACTTGGGGCTATTGATAAATACAATGGAGGTAAAGAGATAATTTTATTATTTATTCCATTGGTTGCAAGCATGTCATTCCCAGTATCTTACAGCCCCAGTTCTGGACAGCTTTTTTGATGTGGCACATAATCCTGAATGAGGATATACATCTGCAGCATAAACCTAAAGATACAATGACTCCAAACATATCTATTTTTATTTTTTTTTTAATTTCTAGCAATAAGAGAAGGATATTGGAAAGGAGTGAAAATGCAGGAGCTTTAGGACAAACATTTTCATTTTTTTTCTCTGCAGCTCCTTGTGCAATCAATATTGGTAGTTTCCAGTCATCTGCTATGACCTTCAGGTCTCTGTATGGCAGTAAGAGACACACACAGATCCAACAGAACACGAAACTTGATTAGAAGCAGAGCTCAGCCATGACTGGTGCTGATGGAAACTAACGGAATATTCTGTTTTACTCATTTTCCATGCTACTTTAGGGATATTAATGTTGACAGAGTGTATTGCTTTCCTCATACCAGGCTCCTTCATAGCTGCAAAATATTTCCTTTACACTATGGATTTCCTTATTTTCATAGACTGTAAAATTCTCATTTAGCAACTATAATACGTGACCAGAACATTTTTCAACAATTTCACACTCATTGTGTAGTATTGTCTGCCAGGGTTAATCATGATCAGGCCTCGAGTATGACCAATTCTGAACTGTATTTTATAGCTGGTTTTTTACCAAATTTTTTATTCTAAATGTGTCTATTAGAACTAGTTAAGAAAAGATGGTAATAGCTTCAATTCTGATTTCTCTTGAAATATTTATTATTGTGCTTCTTGCTAAAGTTACACAAAAATATGTGAGAATAAGGATTAGATGGGTCTGATCAAATATTGCATAATTTCTATATTAAAGAAATTCTCTCTTACATCCACTTGGGATTTCAAGAATATCTTTCAAGTTATCTTTTCTTTTTTTGATTAAAATAGAAGAAAAGAAGAAAAAAAGAAAAAAAAAAGAAGCAGAGCAACAAACTACTCAAAGCAGTGACTTTAAAAAACAGATTGGTCATATTTATCCTGACAATTTAATTCAAGTTTTTATTATTGAGAAATTCCCTTCTAAGAAGACAGGAAATGTCTCAAAAATTCATAGACATTTTAAAATTCTATGGAAAAAATTAGTTTTGCTGCCACAGAAATTGGAAATTGTATTGTTTGAACAGTGGAAATTGAAACTTCCTAAAATGACCTTAACATCTATTCACAAAGTAACACAAAGCAGTGAATCATAAGGAAACAGAATCAACTTTCTATGATATTGGCAGAATTAACAGCATTTTTATCACCTACATTTAACAAAATTATGTAGTAAAACACATTTTAGATTTAGATTATTTTTTTTTTTAGTGATAAAGGGTTATCTGCATATTGTTTTCAGTTTGACCAGCATCTTATGATGCATGAATTTACTGCTTAATAACATCATTGTAATTTATAGAACTAATTTAGTTTCAATTAGTTGAAATGCACTGCTACTTCAGTTGTCCTGATTACTGTATTTTGTGAATAGACAGCAAATTTATCTATCCTCAACACCTTTGTGAAAATGATGTCCTTCACTAAGAATTTTGTGGGATGAAAGCCTCTTATAGATGACACAAAGTGGAATAAGAAAGGGTGGGAAACACAGGGAGTAAGGTTGGATAAGTCAATCACAAGGATAGAGGAAGAAAGTTAATCCACCTTGGAAACACAGTGCACTATCATTGTTGTTAGTTGCATCCATGTCTGGAAAAGAGGCACTAAGAGGTAATCTTCCACAATCATTCTGGTACAGTGGACAATGGATAGCACCATCTTGAGGCAGTGGATGAAAAGGCTGGTGCGTGGGACTCTTTTTCAGAGCTTTAAGAGATGAATTCCTTTCTGGAATGTCTGGAAGCAGCTCAGTAATAAGTCTGTGTAATATACTGTTGTCGGGCAAGCTTCCCCGCCTTTTTTCAGCTTTAATTTGGTCACAGATGTCTTTAAGTGCAGAATCTAGTGCTTCAAATACAGATGACTTGCATTTTTTCTTTTCAGTTTGTTTTTTAGGAGCTGCACTTTTTTTCCTGCGGAAAGGCACTGGACTGACGAGGAATGCTATCTTAGACAGGCCAGATTCTGCTTCCTGTCTCCTTGGATCCTCAGTGGTTTCTTGCTTAGCCCTTTCATGTTTTAGCATGGTGGTGAAGCGGGTGTAGGATGCTGGGCATCGCCCTTTGCAGGAGCTGATGAGATGCCTGTGGTGGTGGTGATGGTGGTGGTGGTGATGGCCTGATCCATAAAAGCTTTCAGATGAAGTGAAGGAAAAGTGATCGAAGTCACTTTCACTACAAAAGGATGAACCCTCTATCTGGATAAAGTCACTGAGATCAGAAACCACTCCATCTTGATCGCTGTCTGAAAAATCGATATGTGATCGTTGTGGCTCATCACTGGTCACTTCAATATGAATTGGCACCAGGGTTTTAGACTTGTAGCTCCGTTGTACCTGAGAGGGATGTCTGACTGGAGTTTCTTCTTCCAGCAGGGATTCGATAGAAAATCGCCTCTTTGGACACAAGCCATTTTTAGGAGGCTCTAATGTAACAGTTGACAACATGTCATCACCAAGGTTCGGCATTGATTTTGACTTCTGAATTAACTTTTCAAATTCAGATATTCTGGTTGGCACCATGTCTCTGGGCACCTCCTCAGTAGAAGACTCTCTCCAGCCTTGAAGAATACCTTTGTGCTGTTCTTTTTCATACTGCAGTATTCTGGACTTGACAGAACAAATCACCTCAGAATTCATCAAGTCCTTGCGATTGATGCGGTGCATCTTTTTGTACATCTTCAGGAAACCTGGAGCATCGTGTGCAGATCTGTGACGAACTCTTGACCTACCACTACCACGGCCCTCAACATAAGGGGAGTTCCAGTTCATTGAGCAAATTTCTTTGGAGTCCTCCTCACATAACAGAGAGCCCATGCTTTCAGCCTTGGCCTGTGCATCGGGATAGCTATCGTGATCATCTGTTAAGAGGTCATCACAGCTACGAGATTTCCTCTTTGGAGAAGCGGTTTCCTCTGTGCTACTCCAGACTTCTGCATTTTGGCGAGTCATTTGCCAGCCATTCTTGTAGCTGGTTGCCCTTCTTGAATCATTTGGAACAGCTAAATGTTGTCTGTAAGTGCTACAGTAATCTAATTCATTTGAGGTGTTGTGGTTGTGCACCGAGTAACTTAAAAGGGATGGATATACTTTGCTAATATCCCCACCTTTATAATCCACAGAGCAGCATGGTAAAAAAGAGACATTGCCAGAAATTAAAAGATTCAGAAAGTTGGAATTAGCATCAGTAAGTATTAGAAAGACTAGAAAAGAGATAGCAATTAGTGCATCTATCAGCTTAGGTCAGCACATAGTTTGTTACAGCCTAGGACAGCAGAACTAATAATTAAGTTATTTTCCAGCTGCAAAAATGCACTCATCATAATTTGAACAACAAAAAGAATTCCTTGTTAATTACGGAGATGTTATCTCCTCCACAACCCCTGCCATCAAAGCAACATAAGAAACCAGGCATTAACTGGGGATTAATTGGGATTTTTAAGCAGGTTAACAGACAATAAAAGCTGCAAAGGATTTAAAGATGAAGCCATACAACAAATCTAGACCTCTGGGTAATACTGATTTTTCTACCTGGGCATTCTGAAAAAGTTGTTTAGGATTTTTAACCTGTATAATGCTCAGAATTCACAGCATCCAAATATTTTAAATATGGTTAAAATAAAGATAAATCTTTGTATCAGATCAAATAGGAAATTTCTCCAAGTCATTCACAGGTAGCCTGCTCCTTCCCTGTGTGATAGCACTGAAGGGAGAAGTGTTTTGTACAGCTTTTGCAGGTCAGAACAAGGCAGCTCAGGAAGTGCTATGCAAGTGTAAAGGAAGGTGCATCAGTTTACTGAGCCTAACGACAATGTAGAAGTAAAAATAACCCTTAGACTGACTACCATGACAAAGGCCTGAGTTTTCAAGCTTTAAGACATATTTTTATGTGCATGGTAGATCTAGAAGACACTATGAGACAAATTTGGAATGGTGGTCTTTCATAATTGTATTGAACTTTCAAGAATGGTCTCAAGCGGCAACATTCAGTTCAGTAATGATGCTTCAAACAGCTCAGTCTGCTTTCTAGAAAAGAATTGAATCTAGATCTGATTTGGGTTCAAAATTCATGCTGATCAAATAATTTATAATGTGCTCCTTCTTTAACAAATCGGTTAATTTCAAGAAAAATTAACATTCTACAGGGGTCATAATGCTGGGAGAGAACAGTGACACCTTCTGAAAGCTAACTGGCTGTGGAAGATATTCTTAATGGAAGGATTTTCAAACACAGGAAGTTCTGAAGTCATACTCAGTGCTTGTTATTGGTGGTGGAGTCAAAGTCACATGCAGGCAAGTGGACTTTATCAATTTTTTACTGCCTGGCCTGGTAAACCAAATGGACGAGTTAATCCACTTCTAAAATTACTGCTATAACACTTTAAGGTTTTAAATGTTTAAAATACATTTACTTTTCAACCACCTCACTCTTAATGTTCCTCACTGCTTTTCTTTGACACATTCTGTTGCAGCCTGGATAGTATGTTCTTTTCACTGAGAATTTACTTTTACAGAGGTTTACTGATTAGTATAGCTACAAAACAGAGCAATTGAGATAATAATATTAATAATTTGAACAGAAGCAGACATATTCTATGCAGTATTATACTATATATTGCTTCTATTTTATGCTTTGCTGGAAGTTTTTTGTCTTTCTAGAAAAATCCATCCAAACCTCCAAACCCAAATGAACAACTGACTCTGTGATCTCTTTCCTGGGGAGATGTGGAAAACAGTAACAAGATGGTGAGTTACTTGCCAAAAACAAGCTAATTATATTGCATCAACTATACTAAGTACTTCCAAGGATTTAGAAAGTAAAAAAAATCAGACTATGGATGCTTTTGTGATTAAATTAGGTCCTGATAACTATGGCTATTTGCTTGATTACATTAGGTCCTGATAACTGACAATGTCTAAGGTATCAGCTATGTATTTAAAAGGTCTACTATCCTGGAAACACATCTTTAATCTTATGGGTTATTTGTCTCGATTTACTTTGTCAATCTAATAAAACTAGTATTAAAATCACAATAGTCTAGTAAGAGAGTAGTAGAGTTAAAAAAATGTTTATATATTCTGGTAGAATTCATATCATAGTCTTTTAGTCAATTCTCTTTTGTTAGAACAAGCAGTTGAAACTGGAAAATTTTTGTTACAAATCCACCTTTTCAGCTTAAAATTACACCCATAAGAGTAAACAAGTTAGCCTTTCATGAAAGGCCCCTCACATCACATTCCCTGGGGCAACACACCGAGCAGCAGGAGGCTATTGCTACCAACACATAGTACAGCACATCATCAGTGGTTTTCTGCTAACTAAAATGCTCTCCTCTTACCTTTTGCTCTTGATGGAGAAGAAGGAGATGAGCTAGTTAAAGGCTTCCTAAGGGTGGTAGATGGGCCCTGTGTGTCTGTACGGCCCAGGTTAGGTCTGTTGGCGTTCTGATCACTGTGTGCCCTCTGATGACTTACAGCAGGTTCTGACTTCCTTCGCTTTCTGTAGTCACTCGCAGTGCTTGCAGAACTACAGAAAAAAAGCAGTATCAGTAGCAGTCTGATTCTGAGATCAGAATTCAGGAATCTAAGAAGTAAGGTCACAATTAAATTACTGGTTTATAGATTAAAAAATGCCAAAATAAATAAATAAATGAAAAGCACATAAAGGGAAGAAGCACTGGTCTTACACATCTTACAGCCTATTTCCCAGTGAAAAGATTGATTTGTTCTTAACCTGATTGTTTTAAAGTTTTACACAACATTACTATGCAATTTTCTTTGAAATAAATGTACTGAGTTCTTTTAGACTATTTTTTGCAACTAGAATTTAAGTGCAAAGATAGGAAAAAGACAGAGACCAAGAACAGTCAAGGCATCATGCTTAGGAAAACAGCACTGAATATTCTGCAGGCAGTAAGGGTAAAGAATAAATCACTGCTGTTGAGAGAGAAGCTTCGGGATGCTAGTGGAAAGACCCAGAACACAGTATGGTTAATTTGAATATAAACACAAAGTCCCTGTAAAACTAAAATAAAATCTACACATCAGTATCAAAATCAACACTCTCTCCAAGCATCTAATTTGCCAGTAGCTCACAAGGTAAATGTTAAAATATGACTCTTCACAAAATCTGTTGATTTCAGGTCCCAAAGAAGACCATCAGGCTGGATAATCCGTGTCTGTTGAAGTAATAGTATGTCTTACCTGGAGGGCCTGTCCAGGCCTCTGTCTGTTGAATAGTGATGATACAAGGAAGCCTGTGAAAACAAACACATGGATTGTTACAACTGTATTTGAAAAAAGAGTGACAATTTTTGTTTATCATGTTTGATGACTCTTTGTTACTCTGTGGCAAATCCTATAACAGCCATGATGGTTAACATCCTGGGCACTCCATCACAGACAGGCAACATTTCATGAGAATAAATTATGCAGCTTTTAAAAAGCGTCATTAGATTTCATTTCCTATTCTACTTAAGTAATATTTTTTCCTTAAAGCACTGCTAAGTAATGAGCCCAAATCATGCTTTTCTATACATTTTTCAAAACCAGAAACAGAACAGATGAAACAAATCTTTACTATAAAAACATAAAAATCTGAAAATTATTCCTTCATGTCCATGTGAGATCTGCAAAGTTTCTCCTCATCCCTCAGTTACTCACCAAAATCCCACAGTCAATAATAGCAAGAAACTTTTGTCAATCCCATGACGTTTGTGGTCAGCAACTGGCCTTATATACCTTATAACCCTGGTAAGAACAGTTCTCATCACAGAACATTAGTCATTGCTTATGGAGTTGCAGATGTAGCTACTGCATGAACACTGGGAGATCGAACTTCCATACTTGTATTTTTAATACAAAATCAACCTTGAATGACTACTGATTTTAAATCAACCATTTCAAGCCTTCAGCCAGAATTAAGTAATATTACAATTCTGGTAACCAGGTATGATTCTAAAATGAACTGTATGGTTCCTGGGGTATTTGTTCATGGGTACATGGCAGTCTGGTTCAAGAATTAAACTTTTTTCAAGTTCCTGGCATGTCATTTCAGCTTTCCATAACCCAATGGACTAGAAACAGAACTATCATACAGATTTCTAAGGTGCAGGAAATATTTTTCCCCCTTAGAGAGAGTCTTGTTGGATTTTTCCCTGCATGGAAAAACCTTTGTCCTGAAGCATTTCCAAAGTAATGGCACTCATGGCCTGTCTAAGTCATTTCCTTTGTAAGATTCTTTTTTCCCCCAGTGATTTGATTTGCAAGTTCATGAACAGAAATTCACCCAGATTTGTTAACTGACACTTAGGTACACCTCCAGAAGTCACCAGTAGTCTTAGAATATTTGGGAAAAGATTTTGTAGGACTGTGGGACAGGGAGAGCCACACAAACATGCCACAATATGAAACAAATGTTATCTAAAACTCAAGCTAAGATAATTCCAAATGTTCATGTAGTTCATATTTTCAAGTTTTTCTTTACACCTTCTGAAGACTTAAAAGTACTTTATGACGATTCTCCCATCACTCTCCAAATTCACTGATTTTAAAATATATATAAAATACTATGAGGTCTGTCTGCACTAAAACCATAGAAGCCAGACACAGTGTTGTCACACCAACAGCCAGTATAACCACAGTGAGCAAAGGCCTCAGGTCTGGGTGCTTCCCTACACTACCCAAAAAACACACATCCAGCCCATCCTGGAAAACATCTGAGTCTCACTTCTAAACTGGCCACAACCATCTTCCTTCTCTTGACCAGTCACTGCCATGGTCTGGAACCAGCCAGGAAGGAAACTCAGGACCACAGGTGATCTCTCAGAACTGTTGCATGAGGTGGTACAAACATTGCAGATAAATTGTCATTGTGGATTTTTCTGTGCAGATACCAACCGCTTCCAGTAGTGACCACTGACCACCTGTGAGGTGGCAGTGGCCAAATGGCCCTGAGGCAGTGATTGCTTCCCACCACCTGTGGTAGCTCCACAGCTGTAGAGACCATGGTGTCACTCCCAAGGGTGGAGCAGAGCCTCACTGTCTCCTATGGAAGACTATGGGTAAATCCCACAACAGAAGTCGCACCAGAGGGAATTTCCTTATGCACAGCATTTCCCAGGCCATACACAGTGCCAGTGATCAGCCTAAGATGGCTAGAAGTGCATATCATGCCAAAATTGACTGCTGGATTACCATATGGCTTTCGCTTTTCACCCTTTAAGATTCTCTTATCACCTTGAATGTAACTTGCCCTTTTATCCTTTATTTGATGCTGGTTTTGAAGTTTTTTCTGTATGACAGATCCTGCATGTTGCCCATTCTACAACAATAATTTTTACTACAGGCACATTATTGTTTATAGAATGTGTGGCGTTTATACCTTCTCTCCACAGCTTCACTGATGTGACATATAGAGGAAAGGTGAAAGTAAACACTGTGTGTGGTTGTTTTTTACTGCTTGTTTTACTGTTTGCAGCTGTCCTGTCAGCTCTTGGGTGTTTATTGACCTGCTTTTAGATGGCCCAACTGAACACATCTCTCTCATCTCCGAAGATAATTAGCCATCTTCCACAATATTTAACACTGCTCTATTTGAATAAAGGCCACTTGAAAAGAAAATTAAATATTGGAGATGACAACTCCAAACTATCAAATACAGTCTTTTTTGAATATTTTGATTTGGTTTTACTAAAAAAATGAGATATACATTTAAAAATAAGCCTGCATTTTAGCTGTTTTCATGCATCAATGCTTTAATACTGACTAAAAATGGAGCTAAGGAAAGTAGGCAAAAGTAAAAGATAAATAACAAATAGGCTTGTTTGCATGATGGTTATAATACTTTATCAAGTTATTTTGAATAGTCTCCCCTTCTGGAGAAATATTAAGTTGCTGTAGTTTTTGAACGTGATTTCTCATATTTAAAGATTATTAAACTTTCAAAATTAAAGACAGAGCTTTTTGTAAATTAATCGAAGAGAAAATCAGTGTTACTTAGCAACAATTTTACCCAGACCTACTGAACACAGAAATATTTCAAAGTCATGTTATGACTTTTAAATTGTCCTCCTTGTTATATTGAAAACCAACAGGAATTAGAAAAGGCCAACAAACATTCCCTTTCAGAGAACTGGGCCCCAAATTTCACAACTATAGTTTTTTCTAGATATATAGAGAGCTTAAAAACAAACCACAGTAAATTGCAAACAATTAACAATTTAAGACCACAATTTGAGTTTAACTTTTGGAGAAGCTACGGAAGATGAGAGTGAATCACAAACATGAATGAAGTAAAGCCACCATATGAAGCAAACTTGCCAGCAGAAGATTTACTGACTTTTGCCCTAACACTGTTAAAATGGGGAGGGAGTGGAGAAGGAATGAAAGCCTGAATCTCTCCCACTCAGAGTAGGGCAATGTCAGCCCACGACCTGATCTTGATGAATTTTATTTGGAGTACTGACAGCAACTGTCAATTCTGAGTTATAAATTACAACAGTATTATTAACTGCTGTTTTACCTGATGAGCAACCTTAGTCATAAATACTTAATAGGAGAAATGACAGCTTAGCCACAAAGGCTTTCACTTGACACATAGAATTTGCAGTCAGATATTTTAATAAAAAATATACTGTGCTGATGGATTAATTGTGCAATGCACTTGCCCAACTCTGAAAAGTGGGAATTTGTCAAAGAGTTAGATACGTATGGAGTATTGTGTAATTCTGGGTGTTAATCTCTGCGAAGTTTTGGGGATAAGGACTCACAGTTCCTAGGATAATAAGATCAACATCCAAATGCACTAGTGATCTGGAAAGATATGAAGACAAAGATACAATGATTGTGAATTAGAAATGTCTCATAGCTATCAGAAGGAAACCACTAAATTTTAATGAACTTAAGACATAAATGGTGAGCATTCCAACCCTTCTTCCCAAGAGAATCATCTGAAAAAGAACCATTCATTTACCTCATAGGAAACACCAGTTGAACTGTCTTGAACATAGTCCAAAAGCTTTTTAGGTGGCTGCATCATAAAAGCAGAAGTGTAGAGATGAAATGGAGTAGAATCAATGGCAGCAAGGAATGAAACATGTGGAAAAGGTGACACAGTTAGAAATTAAGTGTTGACAGCATCAGATACAAAGAGTGACACACATGGGTAGAATGGAAGGATAAATGTGTTATTTTTAAAAAATCTTAATAAAATGTTAGTAACTTTAGGTGGTAAAATTTACAACTGGAATGGCTGAATAAATACCAGCAGTTTTTAATACTGATAGAGAAAAGTGTAAAGCATCACAATTATGCTCTCCTGGAGGAATTTCAATGTATTTTATCTTAAAAGTTATTGTTATCAGTAAAGTATTGTTGTAATACAGTTCATCAGAAGAATTTATCTGTCCTGTTTCTTCCCACCTAGAGGGAGGAATGACAATATGACTTGAAAGGCAGGATAATGGAGATAAAAAGTAATCCATGACAATGTGGTAACATTATAGACCACTGCAGAAATTAAACCCAGATATATTTACCCTTTTTTTTTTTTTAATTTTCTGAGGGTATTCAATGGATAATTCTTTAAAATGCTATGATTAAAACATTAAGGTTTTAAAGGAGTGTATACGATTTTCTTTCTCTTCTGCTCTCACTGAAATAGCAGAGGGTTCTGATTTTGGCTTATGGCTAACTACAGAAAGGGACTAAGGTCTTCCAGGGTGTCCTCCAAAGCACTGTGTCAAGTGCTCAGACTCCTCATGTAGCCTGGCATGTCACTAATTTAAATTCACATAGGCTTCCAGAGGTTGACAGGGAAAGAAAAGAGTGGAGATATTTTAAATTCTGATACTTTCAACCTCATGTCCACTTCAGATTTTCTGCCTGCAGCCTGTGGCTTCTGCTTTTTAAACTCAAAAATTCCTGGGGTGGATCCTGTGGAGCTATGAGAATACTTAAAAAGACTGACAGAATGCTTGGGTTTACTTCCCTTCTTTTTCTAAGGGGATTTTAATTTCTTTTAATTTTTCACCTGTCTGGATATTCCAGCTATCCTCTTAGATACTCTTCTGGGATGAATACATTTGCTATCCTTTTTTCTAAAGATGTTAGAGTGTACGGAAAGAACTTGAGCTCTGTGGAGCCAGAGAGGGAGTGTGCAAAAGCAAGAGCAGGTGCATCTCCAACCTAGTTGTTAAGGCATTGTGCAGGGATAAAGTGAAACCTAGTTCTCGGTGTTGCCTCAAGGGCAATGTTA